GAGTACACTGTAGCTGTCTTCGGACACACCAGAAGAGGGCATCCAATCTCACTATGGATGGTTGTGAGCCACCATGTGGTTGCTGGGATTTGAACTCTGGACCTCTGGAAAAGCAGTCAGTGCTCTTAACTGCTGAGCCATCTCTCCAGCCCCCTCTTTCTTTCTTTCTTTCTTTCTTTCTTTCTTTCTTTCTTTCTTTCTTTCTTTCTTTCTGTCCATTGATGCCATGTGTGTGCAGTGCAGGAAAGGACATCAAATCTCTGGAGCCAGAGTTACAGGTGGTTGTAAGCTGCCCCAATGTGAGTGCTAGGAGCTGTATCTGAGTCCTCTAGAGGAGCAAGCACTCTTACCTGCTGAGCCATCTCTCCAGCCCATTGTTTATTTTGAGATAAAAATGTACATAATCCAGGCTGTCCTTGAATCCTAGATCCTCCTGCCTCAGCCTCTTGAGTGCCAGGATCGCAGTTGTGCCATTAGACATGAGTTGTAAACAGATGTTGGTGCTACAAAATGAAACTGTATGGTGGCACTTTCACACATGCTTATAACATACTATGGTCATACTCACCCCGCCCCCATTTTCCCATCTTACTAGAGTTTTTAACTCCTAAGTAATATATGTGTGTTTATTGGCATCAATGGTAAAGAATCAATGGCATGCTAGTTCATAAGAACAATGTTTATTAAATGTTTTAAATGTTACCTAAAGCTGGTTATGGTGGTACATTCTGGACTTGCTGAAGGAGGCAGAGGAGAGAGGATCATGAGTTTGAGGCCAGCCTGGGCTACACATTTAGCTGGGCCTGGTGGCATAGGCCTTTAACCCCAGTACCAGGGAGGCAGAGACTAGAAGATCTCTGTGAGTTCAAGGCTAGCCTGGTGTACATGTGAGTTCCAGGACAGTCAGAGTTCTAGAGGTCACATTGAGGCTAAGTAGTAGTAGGTACTATTTCTCCAGACTTTGTAGATAAGGAAACTGAAACTTGGCTTAGGAAACCCCATATTTGAAAGTTTAGTAGTATGCATCTGTAATTCTCAGGAGTCATCTGAGGATTGCCACAAGTTCAAGATAAACCTAGTAAGCTCTAGGCCAGCCAGGGCTACATAGCCAGACCTTACCTCCAAAACAACTGTGTCTGAGGTTGTGGCCCATTTTTAGACAAGACTGGGCATGTGGTGTGGCAATAGACCTGGCCTGTCTTTAGACCTCTTCTGTTTCTTCAGTATGTTTGAAGTTAGGGTTACCGAAGTCAATGTTTACTTCTTTCTGTGTTATTAAAATCTTCTAATAAAAAAATAGTAGTTGGTGCTAATAAAAATTCAGTGATTGATTTGAATATTTAGTTGAATATTTGTAATCTTAAATGTTCCATTAACAGTAGTTGGCAGCAAATCTGGAGCTAGCAAAAGAAATCAATACTGCCCAGAATTCTTTCTTTTTTTTTTATAAGATTTATTTTATATATATGAGCACACTGTAGCCACACCAGAAGAGGACACTCGATCTCATTACATACAGATGGTTGTGAGCCACCATGTGGTTGCTGGGATTTGAACTCAGGACCTCTGGAAGAGCTGTCAGTGCTCTTAATCGCTGAGCCATCTCTCCAGTCCCCACGCCCAGCATTCTTTCTGTGACTCCTGCTTTACCAAGTGCCAGTCCACTCTTCACGTGGCAAAATACAGGGATGTGGTCTGGGGCGATGGTTCATCTGATAAGGTCATTGCTGTATCATCATGAGGACCCCAGTTCATCCCCAGCACACAGGTCTAATAGAGCCTTGTGTGGTGGCTTGGAACCCCATCACTGGAGAGGCAGAGACAAGCAGATGTCTGGGCTCACTGGGCGTCTGCTAATTCTCATAAACAGTGGTGGCAACAGCTAGTAACATCTGCACTGGTGGATTCATAGTGACTTGGTGCTGAGCTGCCTGTAGTGGGGCCTGAGCTAGCAGCTTTGACCTGAAAGAACAGGGGAGATTGTGTGCGTTCCCTAACAAGTCACCTGATGAGTAGCCCTCTCTTGAATAATCTGTTGGTAAATTCATCAATTAAAGAGACAATTAAGTTGAAACTGATTCCAATGCACACTTGGTTTAGGGTCTTCTGGCATAATCTTATGTGTTCCTTCCTCCTTCCTCCTCACAGGAGCTGCCTCATGAGTGTGGAGCCTGCCATCAGCACCAAGCACCTCCCTTACCAGAGCTTCCAGCTCCTTGGCTTTGACTTCATGGTGGATAAAGAGCTGAAGGTCTGGCTCATCGAGGTCAACGGTGCCCCTGCATGTGCCCAGTAAGCCCAACCCTTCACCTGTGTTTATAACCAGAAGTTGGGTGTGCACCTTGGGTGGTCTGACAGGTTCAAGCATGGACCCTTTGGTTGCTGTCCGGAAAGCATTCTCAGTGAGGGGAGTCCTTTGGGAGACACGATCAACACGCCAGCCCAGCCTGGTGGGAGGGCTTAGCTGGGCCATCTCCCTGTGGTTTTATGCTACTAGGCTTTCAAATAAAACTAAGCTGGGTATGGTAGGTTAGACTGTAATCTCAGCACTAGAGAGGCTGAGGCAGGAGGATCACTGTGGGTTTAAGGCCATCCTGGGTTATACAATGAGGCCTATGTCCAGGATGTATGAATGAGATCCTGCCCTCAACAACAAAAATGAAAACACTACCACCACCACCACCCTAAACTGTTAGAGAAGGCCTGATAGTGCTATGTTCATGTGACAAATTGAGTAAGTTGGCCTGTGACGTTCAAGGGCTTCTCAGGCAGGTGGTCGCACAGTAGAGTCTGAGCTAGATGTAAGGTAACAGGGTTCAGTCTCCCCAAAGGCAGTGGGGAGACTATTCAGGGGAACACAGGGACCTTCCTCTGTACTGTGTTGTTTCCTTCTGCCCCTTCTATCAAAGACCCATGACTCCAGAGCACTCTGCTCCATCCTCCCCTCCTGATGTCTTTCCACCCTCCTCAGGCTCCAGGCCTCCTCCATATGGCTGCGGAGCTCACTCACACACAGACACACAGACACATACAAACACACACACACACACACACACACACACACACACACACACACACACACTGCTCCCTTCATGAACCAGTCCTTGGACTGCAGCATTTTCAGGGCCCTATCTTCCTCCAGGAAGCATTCTTAGAAATGATGACTCCATCGTTTGTCCCGACAGCTCCTTTATGTCCTCATTTCCTTGTGGCAGCTTTGGAGGAGGCCACACTCCTTTTGTAGAATCTTCCTTCTCTTTGGCTTCAGGCCCTTGTATACCGAATGGGGCTGACTAGGGGGTTTTTGAGCAAGCTGGAGTCTCTCTTCCTCACCAAGGACCTCAGGTTCTGGTGTTGGGTGGCCTTGGGCCTTCTGATCCACTTCCCCTGTATGTGTTCTTGTTAAACTTCATAATAAAGCCACCAAATTTGTGCAGCTTCTGAATTCTAGGCCCTTGTCTGCACCTGCCTTCCCCAGGTCCTGTGAGGATGTCTATGGGTCTAATGGGGAGCACCCCACCCCGTCCTCTCCAGACTTTTCCAAGGCTAGGGGAATAGAGGAGCTGCCATCTCCCTCCTCGGGAACCGACAGCTCAGTGCATGGGTCCTGTGGACTCTGCCTCTGGCCTCCTTGGTCCTCTGTCCCTTTGTGTCCAATATCTTCCGTCACTGGGAGAACTTTTCCAAGGAGCCTTCTCACTGGAATTTCTATTTCTGCACGCCCCCATAAAATCCTTCCTTTCCAGAGCAGCCTGAGTAAGAAAATAGAAACCATACCCCCCTTCCCCTGTAGCGCTGCTGCCTCATCTGCCTCTGCCACCCAACCAAAGACGCCATTCCCTATGACAGCTCTTACCCACTGTGGGTCTTTGTGCTTCTGTGGAGTCCCTGTCCCCTCACTCAGGCCTTCCCTGAAGGAGCTCCATATTCTCTATCCAGAGCCTCAGTATTTCTTTCATTGCATTAGTTGTTATCAAACAGCTGGGTTTTGTTTTCTTCATGGAGTGTTCACACCATGATGTCTTCAGCTTTGGTTTGGTTTGGTTTTGTATGGGTTTTCTTGTTTCTTTGTTTGTTTGTTTGTTTGTTTGTTTGTGTGTGGCTTTTTGGCGGCTTTTGAGTCTTTGAGCCTGGCTCTGTGCCTGCCACATAGTTCTCTATACATATTCTTTGACTGAGCAAACTATACTTCCTGGTTAACAGTGTTTTCCGCTCACCTGACCCTTTTCTTTCTTTCTTATTATTGTGTGTGCAGGGACATGTGTGTCACAGTGTGTGTGTGTGTGTGTGTGTGTGTGTGTGAATGTCAGAGGGTAACTTTGTAGAGTCAGTTCTCACCTTCCACCTTTACATGGGCTCTGGTGACTGAACTCAGGTGGCCACACTTACGCTGCACTGTGCCTTTGCCTACTGAGCCATCCCACCAGCCCAGCACTCACCTGATTTACAGTGGCCTGGGTTTTAATTAAGTAGAGACACCTTTGTATTGTCTCTATTAGCTAGTAATGTAATGGTTAAATGCAAAGGATTTCTTTATATTAGGCCCCAACCTTATGCCAACCCAAATTCTTCTGGCAACATGGTTTCATTTGTGGATTCAGTGATGTGGGCTTGGTGGTGTGAGACACCCGTGCCACCCTGAGTCTTCCTGTGTCACAAGTGTTTGAGAGGCGAATTGGTCTGGGCACCTTGAAACTGGTCCTTGCTCCAACTCTCTCACGGGAGATGCTCACAGCAGTAATTTATGGGCACAGCATATTTTTATAGCATATTTTTATAGCCATGGTTCTGGGTGAACTAATATCTTCACTGAAGGGCTTCCATGTCCCTGTCCCTTCAGCAGTAGGAGCTTGAGTAATCTGGCTACCGAACGGTTGAAAATGGGCCTGGATTGTGTAAATGGGAGGTGAGGGTCCAGGGAGTTGGGGAGCAGAGAGAGGAGCAAGCAGGACAGATGAAGGTAAGCCAGCAGTTAGGACTTCCTAAGAGAAAATGGAAGCATGGCTTCCTAGAGGCCTTCTCACAGAGTAAAACACAGACCTGGCAGCCTGGGAGATAGGGGTAGGAGAGGAAGTTCTGTGATGGGGGAGGCTGCCGGGTGGACATGTCATTGTGCAACAGGGAAGAGAACGATCTAAGAGGAACTCCTAGCTGGTGGAGTTGGCACACAGTGACTTCTGAGACAAGATTGGTTACGACCTTGGGCCTAGGCAGGCTGGTCTGCACTCCTGTCCTTGGATCTGGCCACTTGGGTTCCCAATGCCTGCTGAGCAAGTTGTGGGCATATCAGATATGTTTCCTCTCACCCCTGGCTTCTGCCTGCGCTAAAGGTCAGTCCCAAGCAGTTGGCTCTGGAGACTCATGCCACCCATGGAGTCCCACAAGGGAATCAGACAGACAACCTGCCCACACACTGTTCTGAGGAGATGGGAGGGTCCCTCCTTTGTGTTCTGCTTTGCAGCCTTGGGTTAGAGATCAGCAACGCTGCAGTGAAACCTCCCGTGTGCTGACTGGAACCACAGGAAAGGAACCAAGATGATGTGGTTTTGTTGTCCCTAGGGGAAGTTAAGTTCACTGAGCCACACTACCTTGGGCCTCACATAGTCTACAACATGTTGCTGCATGTTCAAGTTCCGTTTCTCCCGTGTCTCTTGAGTTCTTGTCTTGTTGGTATAGGCTACTGTTCTCTTTGTGCTACCTCAGCTTGTGCACCCACACAGCCTCCTTCCCCTCCCCACACCCTCTTCTTCCCTCTCCTTCCTCTGCTTCTCTACACTGCCATCACTCTCTGTCTGACTACTCTTTATTTCCTGGGTCCCATCTCATCTGCTACCTTCACACAAGTCTTCGCTAGTGTCCCTTTTCCCTTAGAAGGTGTTGATTTTCCTGGATGATGCTTGCCCCTCCTTGCACAGCCTCACAGACAGGCAAGCTAGGCTCGTGACACTACTGAAATCACCTTCTCTGCTAGTCATCAGGAGCTCAGTGTTCCCATCGAGGCCTTTTTAAAAATACTACATACTGCCTTACATGTTTTATCTGTGTGCAGAGCCTCTTGTGGGTACTTTATTCACATAGACGAGTTTTTCTTTTTATCTTTTTTTTTTTTCTTGCTTTTCGAGAAAGGGTTTCTCTGTGTAGCCCTGGCTGTCCTGGAACTCACTCTGTAGACCAGGGTGGCCTCGAACTCAGAAATCCTCCTGCCTCTGCCTCCCAAGTGCTGGGATTAAAGGTGTGCACCACCACTGCCTGGCTTTATCTTTTTTAAAAATGTTTATTTTATTTATATGAGTACACTGTAATTGTCTTCAAACACATTAGAAGACGGCATCAGACCCCATTACAGATGGTTGTGAGCCACCATGTGGTTGCTGGGCATTGAACTCAGGACCTCTGGAAGAGTGGTCAATGCTCTTAACTGCTCAGCCATCTCTCCAGCCCAAGAAACAAGTTTTTCTTTCTTTTTTTTCCCCCCAGAGGATCACACTTTAACTTTATTTTATCTTTTATCCAACACATACAATAAATGTTAAAACATGCTTAATGTTTGGAATTGTGTATTCAATAAATTCAATAAACAGATAAGTAGTGATAAACCAAAGACAAGCATTGTAAGGATTTTTTAAAAAGTAAATGTCTGTTTAGAATAAAATGTTGTTACAAAAGCCAGAATTGGATTCTAATAAAACAATTTAATAAACAAGGCATAATGTTTAAGGCAAAATTTATGAAGAAAGTATATAAAGTCAATATAAGACATTTTTAAATATCCTTTGGGGGAAGAGGCATAAGAATTTAAAATAGCTTAAATGTTCTTTTTAGAATATTAGCCATAATAAAGTAAAATGAATTTGATACAATAGGACTGTATTTTTTCCAGAAAACAAACTACATTGTTGAATCATATTTCTGAGTTACATTTTAATTATGTATATACTTAAACAGATATTTCTAATACACAGACTTTAAGTACAGAAAATTAAGATGTCAGAGCATATGTACTGATTTGACCAAAAAGGTAACATCTTTTCAGCATCTTTTGTTGTTTTTGAAACCCTCAATTTTAAAAAGCTAAGACGTGTTATTTAAAACGCTTTTCCTATTTTATGTTTTTGCTTATCACACACACAAGGTGGAATTTCTAGGGCAGATCATCATTGAAATACACACACACACACACACACACACTCCATACCCAGTTTTTTTTTTTTTTTTTTTTTAAGATTTATTTATTATTTTATTTATGAGTACACTGTCGCTGTCTTCGGACACACCAGAATAGGGCATCCAATCTCATTATGGATGGTTGTGAGCCATCATGTGGTTGCTGGGATTTGAACTCAGGACCTCTGGAAGAGCAGTCAGTGCTCTTAACCACTGAGCCATCTCTCCAGCCCCCCCATACCCAGTTTTGATGAACACCCTCAGTGACATCTTTAAAAACTTATTTCAGGAAGCTCTATGCAGAACTGTGCCAGGGCATCGTGGACATAGCCATATCCAGTGTCTTCCCACCCCCGGACACGGAGCAGGTGCCACAGCAACCGGCTGCGTTCATCAAGCTGTGAGGCACCGGAAGGGACAGAGCCACCTTGGGAAATGTATGGGGTCCTGCTCCAGAGGAACGAGAGACGACTGGACTGCTCCTTACCAAGGGATGCTGGGGAAGAGTGTGTGAAGAGAAGGCGGCTGTGGAAGAGCAGCTGAGCTGCCCACGGTGATGTGGGGACCTTAGGAAACTGACACAAGCGACTGAGAGGGAGAGCCGAACGCTTTTCTAAAGGGCTGGGACCAGGGCTTTGTTATGGTGTGATCTGACCCCTTGAGCGGTTTCCGGTCTTGGGTGGTACTGGGAACAGAGTTCCTTTCCACCCGGGATGTAGCCCAGGGGCCTCAGAGGGGTGTCTGCCCACCTGCTGCAGCTTTAGTGCCTTAGTCTGTGCCCGGTGCAGCCTCACTGGGCACAGACTGGACCTTAGAGCATTTTCGAGGTTGCCACACGTTCCCTGCACATTCCTTCCACGGCTCTATGTCCCGCTGAACTCTAGATGAGCATGCAGCGCAGTCCATGCTGTGCCCCGGCCTGTCAGTGAAGGCCTCTTGCTTGTCACCATCCTGGTGGGCTATGATTGAGCACCTGCCAGGGGTCCTGTGGACACCAAACAGTATATGCTGCTCATTGCATGTTTTAGAAACAAAAGCAGCAGGCCTGACGAATCTGCAAGCATCAAATAAGCATGAGAGAGAGAGAAAAACAAAACCATGATATCTTACTTTACTTAAAGGGATGGGGGGGGGGGGGAGTCTCTGAAGTATCTTGAGTCTCAGTTATCTTTGGCTTTACCAGAATTCTGAATGCAGCTTTGCAATTTCTCTTCCCTTTCCCCCACCCCCATGCCCACCCTGCATCTCTGAACCTTTGTAGCGATCCTTTCTGGGAGTCAGGGAAGGTAGAATCCCTTCCCTCACACTCCTCACCTCATAGCTCTCCCCATGCCTGTCCTCCTTGACTCCCAGGGCCTTCTGCAGGAGCTGGAGGGCCAGGTTCCATTCCAGAAAGGGCCCTGTTTGCTTATGCATGTAGGTGACAGGACAGACCCCCTCTCAGTGAGGGTGTAGCTGCCCGAGTGAGAAGTATTTTGGAGCCCTGCACAGCTTCCTGTGTCAACAAAAGTGTCCCATGCAATGTTGTGTCTGGGTCACGGGTCCATTCATATTTTATAGGCCTCTTGGAAGCCCGCTTCCATGGTGGTGGTGGGAAGAGTCTCGAGTATTCAGGGTGAGCATATAAACAGTCTCTTCTGAAGAGTGTCCTGGAACCACAACAGACAGAGCGAAGCTGCCCTTCTCCCCAGAGCGCAGTGTGGTCTTTCCCAGTGTAACCACGTGCTTCTTCATTTACATCTACTGGGTACATTCTACAGTCCTGTGAACCATTTACAAAAGACCTGCTGAAGCACCTCTTCCCCAGACAGGGTGAGGTGTGGGAACTTGCAGCAAGGGAAGGAAGGATGAGCTTTTTATTACGTGCACTGGTGAGTGGCAGGATGTGACAGTGTTTACTGAAGCGAGGAAAGTCCCGACTCGTGGGAGTCTGGAGTTAGGGGGTAAAGGTGCCAGGGTTACCTGGAATGTGGGTGACAGAGGCGGCACCAAGAGCAAAGTAAAACACTCAATATGAAATCAGTCTTGAGGCCCAGCACAGCTGACGGGGGAGTGCTGGGATCTCCTGAGAAGGCAGTGTGCACACTCACTTAGAATGTGGGGGAGTGCTGGGTCCTTGGCTGGTCTAGGTGGGCTGGTAATGGAGAAAGCAGGGAGGTCTGTTGTGTTCTTGGAGCCAAATCACAGGAACATTCAAGAGTGATGTAGCCATCATGGTGACAGAGCTGAAAAGGCAGACTCAGTAAATCTTTATGAATCTCAACAGGTTTTGTAATAAGCCTAAAGGAATCCATGTAAAGGAAGTGAGGTGTTAGAAGGAAAGGGTTGAGCTCATGCCTCATGTAGCTTCAACCATTTTTATGAATTTACTTCCCACCAAGTAGGAAGATTGGCTCTGAACCGTTTCGAACTGTTTCATGGTATCCCTGGCACAGATGGTCACGCCTGGCCTCCCAGTCACTCTTAGTGGTCAGTTGGTGTAAGTGCTGCCCATCACCAGGAGAGGAGGGGTTGTTTGGAGATGCCAATTCCACCCATGGCTCTGTCATTAGACTGCACAATGTCACACAAGCCAAATAACCTCGCTGTGCCTTAGTGTCTCATGGAGGAGACATTACCTGACCCAGGGACTACCTCAGGGGAGTTTTGTGAGAACAGAAGAGAGAAGTGCAAGAGTCAAGGCCTTTGGTACCCAGGCTCTCAGTGCCAACCAACTACATCAACACTCTCCCATGATGTTAAAAAGAAGTTGATGACCCTTCCCACCTGTGGCCAATTGAATCAGAACCTCAGGTAACAATATGTCTTGAGGTGCCTTGAACCATTACTTCAGGAAGGAGGACAAACACATTATTATCTTGGAAGAATCACTTAAGGATTAGGCTCAAAAAAAAAAATACTCTTAGAAGCAAGCGGTTCTGTAAGAACAATCACATGCTGATATGTGTATTCACAGTGAAAGTCTTACCCAAGCAGTTTCTCAGTTTGCTTCTCATCCAAGCATCTGGAAAATCAAACATGCTTTCATTTATCTAAGCAGTTTATCAAGTCCTTGATAGCTAAATGTACACAGGCACGAATCTATAAATCTAATACTACATATTAGCATTATCCATTAATTATGAGAGAAAAAGCCCTCCCCTCACACTTGACTTCATGGCAATTATAAAGTCCAATTTGCCAAGAATATATAAGTGCCTCTGTGTTCTGAGATAGCATGGAGCTGGCCTGCACAGCAGCTGACAGCGTGTGTCAATAGCTCTGTGGGATGACACCTGCACAGGACATGGGGAGCACCAGAAGTGGTCTGTGATCCACAGAGCCAGCCGGGGATAGTGATACTATAAGGTGTTCTTATGAACAGTGGTGGTTGTGTTCATGGGTGAACTCGGTCCTGTCATGAGTGTGGCAGGGAGGAGATCCATGAACAAAATGACAAAGTGCCAAAGTGGGTTGCATGTGGGTTGTGGGTGCCGTCGTGAGGATTCAGTGGTTGATGTATGTGCCTCCAATCCTGGACACAGCCTGCACCTAAGAGGAAATTTCTGAAATAAGGCAACTCCATGAATGTGTTAAATGCCTGGGGCATTAAAGATATCTCAAGTGTTTATGTGTCCTTGGGTTCAGTCATCTCACTGTGGGGGTTGACTAGCCTTTGGCTATCACT